GTATAATGTCTACACAAAATGGAGAAGCAATAAAATGGCAAACAAAACATTAGGGAATATACGCGTGTTACAAGTATATTTAAATCAAGGGACATCATGCTAAAATAGTATAATGCACTAGTAAGACCACATCAGCAATATTGTGTACAGTTTTGGCAAGCATGTTGCAAGAAAAATATTGCTGCTGCTCTGGAATGAGTTGAGACTTGAGAAAACCACTACATTCCCTGGCTTGAGAGAATGCCCTACTCTGTTAGACTTAAAGAGTTGAATCTTTTCAATCTTGAACAGGGAAAATTCCAAGGCGAGTTGATCCAAACATTCAAGGTTTCAAAATCAAATACTCTAGGTATAGTCAAAACTAATATCATCTTCTTTCAAAAAACAGCTGAATAAGATCCTTTTTAAAAATTAATTTGCTAAGTAACAGTAGTTTCAACTGGCTTAATTGATTGAATTGCCTCCTGTTGTTAATGGTCTTTGTGTCAGTGAAGAGAAAATTCAATCTAAACAATTTAAGGTAATTTATGCAGCTATCCAATATGAACCGATCATGTAGATAATCTGTCACAAATCCTTTCTATCCATTAGCAGAAAGGTCCTTATTTAAAATAACGAGTCAATTAGAGAAGACTGGTAAATATGGCTCTGGCTCTGGGTTTCTGCAACCATTGTAATATGTTTTACACATATGTACAAGCTACGTTTTTGTACTATTTGTACTATTTGTACTATTTGTACTACAGAGTAATTGGCTACATTACTATTGTAATGGCTACATGGCTACATTTGTACTATTTGTACTACAGAGTAATTGGCTACATTACTCTGCTCTCTTCCCCACTGATAGCTGATGTGTGGTGAGCGTTCTGGCGCACTATGGCTGCCGTCGCATCATCCAGGTGGATGCTACACATTGGTGGTGGTGGAGGGGAGTCCCCATTACCTGTAAAGCGCTTTGAGTGGAGTGTCCAGAAAAGCGCTATATAAGTGTAAGCAATTATTATTATTATTACTATAAAGCACAGATCTGTCAGAATTATCTGCGATCTTAAAAGAAAATGAAAATTGCCATAGAATGGTTTCTGCATAAAGAAGGAAAACATTTGATTGTAAAGGGTAGAACCAAGTAAAAAAGTCTAAGGCTTTTTCCAGAAGTATGATATCAAAATAGATAAAAAGATCCAAGTTAAATGCCAACCTTTTCATGTGTTCAAGAGCCAGTGGCTAACAGGAAGTTAACAGAAGGAACAGAATTCAGATTAATGAGTGAAACAAAGAAGGGAACGCTCGATGCTTTAGAATAACAACTGTGCCAACTATGGATCTTTCCTGTTGTTGGAAGACTGACATACCTGATATGTACACTTCATTCCTGAAAGTGATGCAGGCAAACTCCACCCATTTCCTGTTCTCAGATTCTGTCTCCATCTCTGTGATTGGCAGCTTGGCCACCTCCAGGCGACTCCGGCGCAGGGGGTCCAGGCAGGTCACCTCCGAAACAAACTTCTCATCCTTTGTGCAGCCGCCGATGATCATGAACACCTCCGACTGAAACTCCTGCACTCGGGGTTTTGTGCGCTCCGAAATGACCTGAAAAAAGATACAGTACACATTTGTTTTCATCAAAAGGAGAAAGTTTTTGAGAAGAATATACGAAAAGTAACAAGTGAGAGCAGGCTGCTGTTTGGTAGACAACAGTATATTGATGCAAGGATCTCTTCCATTCCTTTCGTGAAACAGGTCAGGGATCCTGCTTCAAGAAAATGCCGAGTTGAGCTCCCACAGCCCTTTGGGTAAAGTGGTGCCACCTGTGTATTGTATGAGGTCCTGGGTGGCTTGATGGCACAGGGGTTAGCATTGCTACCAGACCTGAGTCGCTATCTGGATGGAGTTTGAATCTTTCTGAGTGTTTTTGTGTATTTTCTCTGTGTTGTCTGGTTTCTGGAGTCTAAAAACATCCTGATCAGTTAATTGGCTTCAGGGAAAAATTGGCTCTGGTGTGAGTTTGTGTATGTTTGTGTCTGTGTGTGAACCCTCTGATGGACTGGCATCCCATCCAGGGTGTACCCTGCCTTGCCATTGCTTGCCAGGATAGGCTCCAACTCCCACACGACAGTGCATGATGTGATTGAAAGATGGATGGATGGATGAATCAAGTCCTCTGGTAGTCTTCTCTGTTCAAGTACAGTCCATTCAATCTGTCATGATAGTACATTCCCATAAGCCCCAGATTCTATCAGTTTGATCTTCTCTGGGCTGATTCTATTAGGTGGTGACCAAGACTGTACACAATATTCTAAATGAGGCCTTATTGTTATGATCATTATGGAGGACCTGTCGCAGTAAAGAAATGTTTAGACAGATTAGGCTTAAAATTGATCAGTGGCGTTGCCCCTGAACTAATTATGTGAAAATGTTTTTGACCTTGAAGACTTATCATGGCTGCAACTTGTGACGGTTCTCATTGTGATGTGCTTCTCAAAGCAGACACCCCTCCTGACCACACTGACTTTTTTAACACTGCTGTGGTTTCACTACATTGCCAGAAAACGTCAGTCTAGTCATTCTTCTAGTAATTCTCCCACAAGACAACTCACTAACAGCCACGCATTCAGTTTTAAATGTTAACAGCCTTGTTAACCAAGGTCACAGTAACCCAGGTGTCCAGGAGTTAAAGTTTTTTTTTTTAATTATGACCTACATATGACCTATGAGAAGTGTTAAGTGAGTCTAATTAACCAAGTGATTAATTAGTTAAGAGCTCTGATGGAAGTTCTAATGTAAACCCTGTGAGCCTTATGTAAGAGTGCTATCCCTCCTTAGACTGAGCTGCTAAATGCAGTAAATTTAAATGTCAAAGCAGACCCGGAAAATTAGTCATCACACAGGCCTACTGTCTCTGCACGCTCTTTTGCAAATCGTCTTGGAGTCATTTTTGCAAAAAAATAGCTATTACATTTACCTGCTGACACCAAGGCTTCATTTCCAGAAGAAATGAAATGGACATTATGAACAATGGGCTTTCAAGACTGAAAAAAAAAATGTACGTGTAGGAAATCATTGAAGTAATTAGGAAAATTCAAAAGGTTACGATGGCGGGGAGTCAGACACCGAGGTGCTCCGGGAAAGCTCGTTAGAAGTCAGCTCACCTCGTTTCCAGAAAGGTGGTACATCCGTGCCTCCTGCAAGAGGGGGAAGGCCTCAGGGCACCTCCGAATCAGGCCATCCCCCTCCACTCTCTCCACAAAGTACCAGGGGTCCAGCAGGGGCAGGCGGACGTGCTGGAGGACGTGGGGCAGCAGGGGCAGCCTCTCGCTCTCCCGCGCCCGCACCCAGCCCATCACCGTCTCGAACACCTGCTCCTCCTCCGTCACGCACAGATCGTCCCTCTGCAGGATGTGGCAGAGCACGTCCTCCGGCAGCTCCAGGAACTCCTCGTAGGCCGCCACTTGTGGAAACTTCTGGATGATGTAGTTCTGGACGCGCGTTTTCAGGCCGCTCAGAGAGTGAGTGTCGGCAAGGCGCAAGACCCCCACACAGTTGTCTGGCAGGAGAGCTTCTGTGAGAAAGTTGGCGCAGGCGTCCACCATTCTCAGGAACTGAGAGAAAGGATAAGGTATTGGGGAAAGCAAGAATGCAGGACAGATCTCTTGTGGTATTTGGCCTACAAATCAGTTATGTCTGATTCCTAAAATGTATTTTTCAAGAAGTGGAGCAGATTTTGGATAAACCTCTCAAAAACTGCATTTTTATGTCCGGATAATTAAAGAAGCATGCCCTTATCGTTTCTTTGGAACAAACTGGTCCAGACTTTGGAACGAACTGGTCCAGAGATGGGAATTAAGGCATGTTATGGAAAACTTTCTAGACTTGAAATTTTGCTTAGTAGAGTACAGTAGGGGCCCAAGATCTGTTCTGCTGATTTTGCCTAAGCTCTTGGTAAAATGGATCTTTGAGTAATTAAGGGACTAAAGCCACGTGTGGAACCTGTTGCTTTCCAAGCAACCTATTACAGTATATTCCCATTATCAGACGATGTATCCTAGCAAAACTTCAAAGTCTGGTTTGAACTGCTAGAACAAATTTTGAAGAAAATGTATCCGGGTTAGAATTAACTATAGAAGTTTAGAATTACGTTTCTGGCTTCTGTGGAGGCAAATTAAGTAGACGGCAAGTACAGGTTTCTATAATACACAAACATTTAAAATTATCTTGGTGTCTTTAAATAATTACTGGTGACTCATCAGAGAAATAAACAAGCACCTTCTTTTCCTCCCGGGACCATGCAGAAATAGAAACAAATAAAATCTGTGAATGCACACCAAAGAAAGACCAGTTTTCACTTCCCTAAACTTGTGTCACCTGGTTGATATCAATAGACATCTTGGTAAATAAAATATCTGTAGTTAAGCAAAATCTTACTATTTAGGTGGGAAAGTATAAAAGCTTAGTTATCACATAGAATGTATTTGAAAGAATAAGATATGTTTTAGAGCTACCATTTTTGTGTGCTGTCTTCCACATGACTGGACTAAAAGAGCATTTTAAGATGCTGTTGTGAAATGATGTTTTGATGTTTATGCTCAGTTTACCAGGCACATTTCCCCCTTGTGTGTGTGAAGCTCACACACCCTGTGTCCAGGACACACCTTCCATAGCTGTCAGTTCACCTGACACACTTCATATAAAAAAATAAGTTAAACCGCGCTTAAATACAGTGTGAAAAGCTTTTATTTCTTTTAGTTCAAAGAAAGACCCTAACAACGGTGTGAAATGTGGTTTCATTTTTAATGTGTGGGAAAGGTTCGACCTGTTTACAGTAATTGTGAGAAAATTCTCAACACTTGTCAAAGAAGTGAAACTGTTACGCACACCTATATACAGTAAGCCACAACTTTGATGTAGTTAAGTGTTACTAACTGTTCTTAATATGCTTGCACAGAATCTTGGCTGTAAGATTGGCAAACAAGACTAACTATGGATCTTAAGTTCTTTCTTCAGCTGTGTGTGAGATATGTGGGTTTTGGGGAGGGGGGGCTTTTTACCTCTTAGTCCTAGAGTTGTGAGACACACTCTGGTGTCTGTGAAAGATATGGAAAGGCTTAGAAAAAAGTAATTTGCTAGCCTATGTTTTGAAAAAGAATTGTTTCTTCTTGAAGAGTCTTAAAGAGATTTTAGTTTTTTTCCCTTCACTGAGCTAGGCCTCACCTGGAACAGGCTTGCAGCTTCAAGAATTTTTTGCACGTTTTGCTTCGTAATGAGCACTTTGCTTGTGTAGGTATAATCCAGGAGAATCTTCATGGTTTCTGCTTCCACACCTTTAATAAGGATTCTCTCCTCGTGTTTCTCTTTCAGATCATTACAGAACATAGCCCTAGAAAACCAAGAAAGAGGTCTTTTAAAAGCAAACAGAACTGTGAATAAAACAGCCATTCTGATTTTGTTCTGTCCTAGGCCACTTTTTTATTAAAATATAATAAAACAAAAAATATCAAAGGTGATAAAGGAAAAAAAAAGGTTCCTCTTATGCATTGATTATGATTTTAAATATACTATTGAATAGATCATTGAAATATGTCTTCATAATTGTCTACTCAGTTTTTGACAAAAGAAAAAATAAAACATTAGTGCAATTTTCAAGACTCTTAATCGTGTACTAAATAATTGATGTTTTTTCAATTGTATACATTTTAATTGACATTTTAGTGAAATTGTATGAATCAGAATAGTTTAACAGGTTATTTCCTGAGACGTGACTATTAACAAGAATTTTAACCTCCTGGTGTTAACACCTGGTGTTCCTACCATTTTTCTTTTAATGAAAAACATACCATAACTTTGCATTTGCATAATATTAATATAAGGAATACTATAAGGAACCCTCTTATAGTTTTAGAACTTTAGTTTACTTTTAATTATCTTTTATAATTTCTAAATTATGTTTAGAATTTCTAAATATGTTAAAACATTTTACAACAAAGGGTCACAGCAATGAAACTAAACATTTCATCAGTCAATCTTTCTGTTTTGTTTTGTGTCTTTCTTTCTGACAAATGAAACCTCAATACCTTTGACACTGTGTCAAATGACTGGGAAGGTATTTTCCTGCCACACAGCAATTTCTTTCTGTATTTAAAGAATTCTCAGAATTTAATTCCAACTCAATATAGATTTTGCACTACTAGTAGTTAAACATATGTGCCGTAAGCCTCTTAGATTAAGCAAACAAGGTTTTGTTGAACTCGAAGGGAGATTATTTTGTTTCAGTTTCTATAATAAGCTAAATGTGAATCCATTTAGCTTCAGATGTTGAGATGTGCCTCACCTGAAATGTATATTAAAGAATGAATTTTTAATTTAAGGGTTCATAATCTGTAGAGGGCATTCTCACCACTAAAAAGGATGATTACATGTATTCCTCTTCGATTGCTACAGGAGGACAATATTTTATATTTTTAAATATTAAGTGGATTTTGCCTGTCTGGAAATGTACCAAAAGCACATTGCTGTGCGGAAAATGAGTAAATCTGTAAAAAATACTGTATATGACCAATCATTGTATCCAAATGACGATTCCGAGTTTACATGAAGTACGTGAAGACTTATCTAAACATGGATATGATGATTCAAGTACTATATAGAATTGTTAGCTTTGTGCATCACCAATTCTAAGGTCAACCAAGCAAATGGGGATTTTGACGATACACTTCTTAACTTCAAATCTTTGTTGTTTATTGTTGTGTCTCTTTTGAATACAGTTAAGCATACTAGCATTGGTTATTAAGCTCAATATAAATAATAGCTTGCTATTCAACATACAGTACTTCATGTTTGTCTTAAAGTAGAAATTTTGTAACATTTTTATCATAAAACAAAAAACATTAAGAATAAATGCTAGAAAATTAAATGTTTCTTGTTGGCAGAGTAATTAAGCTTTCACAATGGTGCACACAGAGAACAGACAAGAACTGGCCTACATGACTATATGATAGAATTGGTTGATTTATTTTCAAATGGGCAAAAGCAGATTCAAGTTTTCTGCAATGCATTTTCTAAAACATGCGGTACTAGCTATCACATTGTTTTATCAAAACAGTTATATTCTCCTCACAGCATCCAAGTCTTACAATTCATCTAGTTTAATAATAAAAGCTTTCCGCATCATCCAAAGTTGACTAAGACTTGTTTTGCTTCACACTGACTACTTCTTCAAAGATATTTTGCTCTGTTTCTTTTTCCATTTCCTTTTCTGTCTGAATCCTGCTCTTAGGTAATCCTTAAAAATGAACTGAAACCTAAGAGAATCACATTTTGCAGTGAATTAGCAGTGCTTGCTCTATCAGAGTTTTAAATCTCTTTGAAGAGATTGCGAGTGTTAGTTAGCCGTAAATGTGAAACTCTGATTCATGACTTTAAATTTGTAACTTCAAGCCCATGAATGTTAGCTGCTAAATGTGTTGTGCCTTTTGGGTTAAATGAGGTCCAATTCATATCCACTTATTGTTTAAGTATTTTCTTTGCAAAATAAAATATCTAATGTAAAAAAAATAGCAAAGGTGTCAAGAATAAGAAAGCTTTTGTGCTCAAGAGTTGCATTTCCTGGCTCATTCTGGCTTTGCTTGAGTATTGAGCCTGTGCTGTGAAACCCAAGGTTTTATTGTTTACAAACCTGCACAGATTTTTCATGTTATATGACAATGGAATTTAGGAAATGAAGCACTCAAAAGTGTCTAATGTTTTCAACTGGATCTGAGTGTCAAATATCTTCACGTTTTCTTTTCTGCCACGAATCGTGAGTTAGAAAACAAACTTTAAAAATGAGTTGCCTGTTATTGCTATGAATGTGTTACCACTACATTTCTGAAGGTACTCTGCATACAGAATGTGCAAGATTACACACATGGCAGTGATAACCATGCAATGCATATGAGAGAAAATCTGTTACATAGTGTAAAAAGCATTTTGTCACTGGATTAAATAAACATAATACATTCACAGGGAAAAAAATGTCTTCCTCCGTGTAACAACCTGACACACAACAAGGTTAGGACACAGTTTGTAATAATATAGGATATGTTTGATTTTAGCGTCTAACGTCAGATAAAGGAGGTGGATTAACTAAGGAGCAGAGGAACAAGTAAAGGTTTATATCAATGCTGAAAAGAAAAAAGACAATGTTTCGACTGCGGAACCTTTTTCCTGGTGTGAATACAGCCGAAACGTTATGTCTTTTCTTTTCAAGCATGGAATGACTTGTTTACTTCTTCCTCTGCAGCCTACGCATGCTGACGCAGCTACCTGATTGAACTTAATTAAGGAGCCCGTTTTATTTGTTCTTCCTCCGACACAAGGACAGCAAACGGTCTATCATTTCTGATCTCTGCAAAATAATTCTTCTGTTTACCTTTTTTACTGCGACAAGAAGAATACATACGATACACACAAAAATACATATGACATAATTGGGGGTACATTAACAGTTGCATCCTACCAAAAGGGACTAAAGGAGGTAAATAAAGAACTGCAAAAGAACTACATAGCCTGGGACTCTGCCTTTTGTTTTGGTAGCCCCTCCTTGTGCTCCCCTGCACTGTGGCTTTTAAAGGAAAACCTCCCTTTTAAACACATACTCAAACCACAACGTTACAAATAACGGCAATATTTTCCCATAAAATATACACATTTTTGTGTGTGTATTATGTTTTTATCATTAGAATGATAAAATCAATGGTAAAACATGTTTTATGATAATGTGGTAATTGTTTACACATGGTGTGAATGCCTGGATGGAAAGATTGGTTCCCCTCCTGACCACAAGAGAGCGCTGTGGAAGCAGGCTTGCTGCCATCTGTTTGCTGTCTCCCAGACTATTTATGTGGCCCTGACCTTGAGTGTGGTTTTGGCTTAAAGTGTGAGTGAAATTTAGCTAAAGCCTTACCAACACAGCTAAACAAATATCTATGAATCATTTTAGAAGCTCCTTTCTTTTGTTTTTTTTTTCTTCTCTGTGGAGATTGACACTTCCATAAATCCTTCAAGACACGATGGATCAGCTAGCAACACGTAAGGCCATTTTGTTTTCATTATCACTACTCTTCCCATGGGGAAAGGTTATTTGGTATGGCAATGGTCCCTACATCACTCACCTTCTGGATCTTTTGTTGTACAATGAATAACACCCTGACCTCTCAATCTGATCGGGCCAACTGGTCTTACAGCAGCATAAAAGATGGGTGTAAAATGATGGCAGCTTCTATATATCTGTCCATTATATTTCCTCACCTTATCCTTTGCTTTTGTGAAATTATCTACAGTATAAGGAACCTTCCCCTTTAATGGTATCAGGGATGGTACTGCTGAAGCCTGTAGATGTGTCACAGATTGAGTGAAAACTATATTACATTCATCCTCTGTACCAACTGTCTAAATTTGACTATTGACTCAACAAGGTCTTCTCTGGGGTCATAAAGTTTTTATTTTGTTCAAAATAAAACCATTTCATAAACCTATTACTCAATTGGTTAAACCAAGTTTGCCGCTGAAACGTCATCTGTCCATTAAACTTTTGCATACAGTGTATGTAAAAATAGGACACATCTTGAGGTTAGGTATGTGTGGCCCATGTATAGATACATCAGTTTTGCACTTTTTGGAAAAACAGAAAGTATTAAAGTAATACATAGTCCTGTGAGCATTTTGTATTTCTACAGGATTCAGTAATTGGGATTTTCTCTCAGGTCAGGCCATACTGCTTTTGCTGGTTGAACAGCCATGTAAGATGTAAGTCTAAGAGTATTGACATGTTACTAAGGAGATGTGAGACAAAGTCATACAGGGCATGGGCGTAGCTACATTCAGTTTTATAAAAATTAAAATACAAACAGTAATCACAGTAAGTGATTAATAATAAAAACACCATATGTAAAGCCTCCAAAAGAGGTGTCAGTTGTTTGAATACTATCCTAACATTTCTTGAATTAAACTTTAAATGATATAAAAATGACAAATCAATGTTTATTTATAAATAAACTAAATAATGCTACACTAAATGAGTGGTTCCTCCAGCAAACAATTTATGTGAGAATTTGAAAATATTTCTACTACAATCTAGCTGTTCATGCTTCAGACTCATGCACCTTAAGAACAGTTGTGAGCGGTGCGGTTTGTAAAGATTGTTAATCTTGCCTAGATGAGAAAGATTTTGTAGTAATAGCTATAATAACCTTTGCCTCTCTATCTGTGATTTCTCAAGTTGTCTGTAGTACTTCCTGAAAAATATTGTTTTCAAAACTTCAGTGTCTACTTTGGCTACCTAAACTCTGAATTCACTATTCATAGTATAGCAACATGACATGCTACAGTTAAACAAGATAAAGGCTTTATTTTTAAATGAGAAGTCTGTTGATATTTGTAGCTGTCCACTATGGCCCTTTATCTGGAGAGCAGAATTCTGTACAAGTTAAAAACGTTTGAAAAGGAAGTGATTAGTTTTCAGGGACAAATCTTCTAAATTTGTAACAGGGTAGAGACTCATCCCACTCACAGTTATGGGGCTTTCAGGTGTACAGTGAAAAAATGTATATCACAAAAGAAGTGTGTAATTAACACTTTAGCACAGAAGGCCAGCAACAAGGAGGGCAGATTTCTTAAAAGGAATTTTTAAAGGAGAAAAGAAAAGTAGTTGAAAAGGTATTGGGGATATCAGCTGAAAAGTTTAGCAAATGCTATGTTCAGGATAATGCATAGATTTTCCTTTATTAGCTTTTCATGTACTACTAGTGTACATTAAGCACAGAATACAGTACATCACTTTTAAATATGCTTTGAGTGCTAATCTAACGCTTCTGTTTGTAGTTCAGTGTACCACAGAATAGAATGGATTTTAGAAACCTGTTTGATCCAGTGGAAATACTTTTGTACTTGCATGTTGTGTGTGGGAAAACAGAAATGACTATGTTAAAATTCACTGTGTTCTGTGAATTAGTATTTTCCAAATGAAAAAAGATTTAAACCAGTTACAACCCAAACACAACATTAGACTTTTTTCTTTTTCCAACACTGGTAGATTTCATAACCAATTGCCCTAGATTGTCCAACATTTAGAAAAGTGCAGTCCAGCTATGTAACACCAAGCCTTTTTCTACATTCAGTATGGTGGTGCCAAGTCAAAGCTGACATTTCTCCATCTAACTGAAGTAACTGGTTAATCACTGTTACCTTTTTGAACTTGGCTAAAGTGATACGTATAGTTGACAAACAATAATTATGTTTGAATATGCACAAGTTGAATTATATTAAAACAGAAATCCTAAAACTGCTTCCTTCACAATACAATCATTGAGATTTTTTGGCAGTCTTGATGGAAGATAAGTTTTAATTTATGAATTATGATGCTTTACTTGCAAATAATGGGAAGAAATGCCTTTCAGCTTGCAGTGGAGAATAACTTATCATGTCCAGAGTGCCGTGCAAAATCAGTATAATGAATTCTGGTAAATTCTGTGTGTGAACTATCTCCCGTCTTTCTGATGAAGTGATGCAGCCTTTTACAGTTTTCAGAAACCTAGGGACCATAATCATATACTTCTCTCTTGTTTGAATCAATTGTGCTCTTAATTCTCTTGGCAAACTCTTACTAAAATCAATATACTGTAGAAATCAATTGGGCTCCATGCATGGGAATTCTCAGTAATCATGAAGGTTGACAAAGCTTTGATCGATGTGAAAATGACCTGTTTGCTTGGGCCTTTAAAGTCTAATGATGAAAAGAGTATAAGGAAGAAGGTAGTAGAACAACTCTCTTCTTTGTGCTGCCATTACCATATGAAGATGAGTTTAAATAACATTGTGGCAGAGCTGTGGAATGGTTCTTACCTGAAGTAGTTGCTGGCTGCTGCCAGGACAACCCTGTGGCAAGGGAATTCCTTGTCATCGACATGTATCGTCACATCCGTGAGGGAGTTTTCCAAGCGTAATGCATCCAGGCCACTCTGGAGCTGGGAGGAGAGACCGGAGTCATCGAATTTCACCCTCTCCTCGGAGGATCTCTCCAACACCTCTGCCTCCTCACCATGGTGGTTGCTCTCCAGGGTCCCCAGGGGCACGTCGGTGCTCTTTTCCACTGTGCCTTCCATTGCACTTACGCAAAACTGGAAAGCTCCACCACCAGTAACTCATCCCGGTGCTGACACATGCTGCCACAGCTGTTGCCCTGCCTCGGGTCTCTGACTTGGTCGTGTGTTCGTGTATATGTGTGGTGTGTGCGTCTTTTTGCTGCCTTCCTGCTGGGCTACAGAGCAGCTATGGGGTGGATTTCCTGTTCAGGACGACGTGCTTCGCTTATCTATAGCCAGCAGGTGCAAAACAGGAAACCCTGCACTTTCTCAACACCATTTCGACAGTTAAACGCATTGCCGGGCTACGTCTTTAACAACTTCCACTTCGAAAGTGACTGCATGATAATGAATTCCCAGACTCTTCCCTCAGCATCCCTTCAGAAGGCCTGGGGCCTGAAGGTTTTTTAATCCTTTGGGCTCCTCCAAAAATTAAAGGCTCTCATTTGAAAAAATCGAACTCGCAGGGCTCCAGAGCAGCATTTGGTGTTGCAGGCTACTTTTTCTTCAGAAGGGGACCGAGTACCTCTCTGTTCCCCAGGGCCTGTTCTGTGACCTTCAGGCAGGAGCCAGGAAATGGTACTTTAAGGAAGAAGAAAGCATGAAAGATGCTAAAAATGGACTAGAATTCCAAAGATTTAAATTAACTCCGAATGGCACTTGAGAGCTGAGTGAGCTAAATATTGCCCTTCATAATCCCCCACCCTTTAAGTTAGGAAGGTTATATACTGTCATATTTTTTAAACTTTTGTAACAAAGAATTTCTTGCGCTTGTCTCCCATGCTCTGCCATTATTGTCTATTACAACCAAATACATTCAGTCCCTGTTTACTTTGGGCTGAGAGTAGGATTAAGTATTGGAATTGCACATTCCCACCCTGTGCCAGAGACACAGAAATCACACAGAAATCATTCGTTTTAACTTCCCACAACAAAAACATGCTCACACTTCCTTCTGCAATCCTTTGGTTTTTCATGTGAAAGTCTAGCAGTATCTTCCTGGAAGGAATTCCAGAAGGATTTGTGTGGTGTATTTGAAGAATTTTAGAAGGATTTGGGTCCAAAATATTTCTCAGGAATCCATCAGTATATTTTTTGTTTGGGGTAGAGTCACCTAGAAATCCTAGAATTCTGGTTGCTTCCTGCTTTACAATATTTGGTGAGACCTTTATTTCTGTTAACGTGATCTCTGCTGGAGATTAATAGTATAGTACAACTGGGCAGAAACCTTTACTTGTTCCTTTGCAGCCCACACACGCTAATGCAACTCCCCGCTCGAACATATTCTAATAATGGATGTTTAGATGGAAAATTGTGACAATCTTAACTCAACTCAAGCCACTGAGCACCTGGTGTTTTTGTGAAATCACAAGACATGAGTTCCGGACTGTATTTTGGTATCTCAAAGAAAATACTACTGAACAACATACCCATTTGTTGATTATTGAAAATGAAAATAGTGTAATTGTATGTGCCCAAAATACTTACATAAAGCTTAGACTGGTGCATTTTCACTGTGCGCCATTATAGGTAAGAACAAATCTATGGATATAAACCAAAGGCAAAACATCAACAGTGAGACTTGGAATTATACAGGCAAAATACCTGAATTTTTGTATGTCTGAAGTTTAATTTAAAAAGTAGCCACCTGGTACTGGTACACCTGGTACTGAACTACGTATCGGTGTAGTTATAATAAGTGACCACTCTATTTTATTATTGTCATTTGTCCAAAAACACTTTAATTACAGAAAAATATTTTTCCCTCCAGTTCGTAATACAGTATATCAAGCAGAATTATCACAGAAGCCATCTAACACCAGCAAGCACACACCTTTTAAATTACTTTTAGCTCAACCTTTTCTTTTTACTGGCTGCAGAAACTATTCCATAATCTTGTGGGAGGAGAACTGAAATACACTAAGATTATGTCTCAGTCGCTGAAACATTACTTCTTCTCTGAGAATCTCTGGTCTCTTACAGCTGAATTTTTCCAAAGTAAGAAATCAGCGTTGTTTTCATCATAAAAATCATGATCATAGTGCATGCTCATTTTAGATATTCTGCTTTAAATAAAACAAAACTACTTTGTTGTAGTGAAAGTAGGAAGCTGTAAAAACCACAAAGCAAATTTAAACTGACTTTGTCTTGGACCAAATAAAACTTTCATGTCTTGTATGTACTGCCACTGGGTAGAAGCAATAATTATTTGGCAGAGAAGAATCCACTACTGCATACAGGGTTATTTACAGTATGTGTAATGTGCTCTGGGATCAGAGATTTGATTTTAACTGGATCTGTACTGTACGTCGGCTTATATGGTATTTTTTAAACAAAATGAATCTTGTTTGAGCCAGATTAATGCAGGAGTTTAACCTAACCAAAGTTCTTTAACCTGACTAAATTTCTTAATGAAAAGCACTGAGATGACATACACAATAGAAACTTCTATCAGGTAGCATTTTTTAATTTGAGTTAGACAAGTGAGCGGAAGTTGACAAAACTGGGGATCATTATTCGATTTTAAGATCAAGTCAACAAACCTGGAGATTATTATTAGATTTTAGACACCCATATATACAGAGTATATGCATGCTTTTTAAAATATAATACAGGGTTTAAGACTAATGCCTTATGTAAATTATTTAAGTGTCAGTCCTTAAGTTACAGTCATAAATTACAGACCCTTTCAATTAGATAAGAACATTTTCTTCCATTAGACATCCTTCCAAACATGTTCTTTGTAGGTTTAATTGGTGTCACCAAATTATCCCTTTGTGCTTGTGTGTACCCTGAAATGCACTGGTGTGCCATCCAGGCTGTAGTGCTGCCTAGCTTCCTGTGCTACCAGGGTAGGCTATAGGTTGCTGCGAGCATTAACAGGAATAAATGAATCTTTGCATTTCATTCTTAACCTTAATCAACAATAACCTGGATTAGCCCCCACAGTTTGGTTAATTTTACGCCCTGCTGCAAAAATGTTTTCAGCATACCATGTTAATTGTACTCATCAGTGGATCTCATCCAACTGTTTTTTAAAGAAGCCAGGTGTTTTTTTTAACAGCATGGTGAGGTAGCTGGTACAGACACTCCCAATCTTAACCCCTATTTTTAACGCACATTCACGGGATTTTCACTTGGATCATTGCTGGTTTTGAAAAATCCATTATATCGAAGTATATTTAACCACAGGTATATATGGTCCTGTCTTACTACAGTACCTCTGCATTTTTAAATATAGAAAAGAGCGTCATAATGACGAAACCTAGAAAAACCTTTAAAACACCTTGCTTGGAACTGTTTTATTACTTTGTACTGCTATTATTGGGTAATTATATCTTAGAGATCAAAGACTTTCATATCTGAAAACCTAATGTGGGTAAGGTTGGTTCCTATTTTTGTTTTTGTATAAAATGATAAATTGCTATTTTATTCTGTTGTTCTGACAGTTGTGTAAAATTCTATGAAGAGTCTGTTGCTGATATTCTGGTATTGTTACCAACCTGATTTTTCTGTTCATCTCCTTTTGGCGCATTTTATTTTTTAACCCAGTATCTCTTTACTAATATACACTCCCTGGCTTCAAATACCACTCTCTCTCGGTGATTGGGAATGGGAAGGTGACTTGAGCAGCACAGGACAGACGTCCATCACTTTCTGCAGACTTCGATCCTTCTGAAAAGTGTGGGGTGTGCAGTTCAATCCCACACATCATTACCCTCATCACAACCTCAACTGAAGGCAATCATGTTGGAAGAAGGAAATGAGGGACTGAGCAGCAAATATTTCCGAACCTTGTAGATTGCGTACCACCTCTCGTTCTAGCTGTCTGCAGAGGCTCGATGAGTACTGTATAACACTAACAGCTGGTGCCGTCCTGATATCCTGAGGTGGCTGTTTTGCTCCACAGAGGTGCTAGACAGGAAGAAAGGGGCTATAGTTGGAGTGAAGGTGAAGGTGAGCCTTTAGGTGACATTAGTGGATGAGTAAAAGGAATGAGAAGGAATATAAAGGTAAACAAATATCACTCATGCTGAAAGACAAGTTGCATCTAACTACTCCCTTTTTTATCTGTATTCTACCGAAATATTCTCTCTTTGTGACACCAGCAATGAAGGAAAACTGGTTATAGCCAAACACATACCTTTACAACAGGAATCAAGCAGCTTCCCTTGTATTTTTCATTTCTCATAAGATATGCCTTATCAGAAATATTCAATATTTCTCAACAATATTGTTTTGGTCTCATAAGACCAGAACCCCAGCTTCAAACTTCATGGTTGTACTAGATCTCTGGGATCTCAAGGAACTGTGAATACGAATGAATATGTATCAGCCCTTCTGCAATGACTGTAGCAGGACCGCCACAGGTGCTGACCTGAAACAAATGCCTACAGAAAACAGAAACGTATTGTGCTTAATGATCTACCCTGGCTGGCTGATCGTAGTGATTGACACACTAATAATGTTTGTTTGTCAGCATTTTTTTTCCCACAACTACTAAATATTAAAAAAGACATTGAACACCAGGCTTCTCTGAATATATAACATGCTTTTCCTATAATCTAACTGAAAAAGTAAAATGAACATACAGTAGTGGCTTAAAAGTAGGAATGCATTTTGGAGATGCTTTATCTGCAGATGACAATAATGATGGATGTTCACGGATTCCAAGAAAAGGATTCACCATTCGTAGTTAAAAATAAAACCCAGAACAGAACCTCTGAATTCTTTTACTTAACCTATGAAAGTACATTCTGCACATTATTACATCTGGATGAAGTATACAAATTTTTCACATAAGAATTCAAAGGACAAATTAAGTGTTTTCCAAGATCATTCATGTTTAATGATAAATAGTGTTTCTGTTTATAATCTATTTCAGGCAATATTTGTATTGGTTTATGGCCTTTTTGGTAGTTTTATTTTGAGGAATTGTACCTCTGTACCAGTAATACAATGTGCTCTACATCATCTTCTCTTAACTTCATAATGATGCATATTGAATCATTTTTCCTCACAAAGCACCTCATTTGTAAAAGAAATTTCTGAATTCTCTAGACTATTAATAAGTTATATGGGAAAATACTTTACCCCCTCTTTACCTCCCCCCCTCCCCCACACCCACATGGGTGACACTTGGCGCCCATTGCACCAGCCAAGCAATTAAGTGAAGTAAAAAATACATCACCAGTCGGATTTAGGGAGGCAAAATTATGTCCACCCACAGTAGATTTTAGCCAGGACAGTAGGTTTGAGTCCCCTACTATAATGAATGGTGCCATTATTTGAATCTATTAAGATGGGAAAAAATGATTCCTCTTCAGAACAGATAATACTACATCCAGAACTGGTGCTCTCTCACAAGCACTGGCCCTCCCTGAACATCGGCTCTTCCTTGAATGTGATGTTAGGAAAGCCAACTAAGAGGTCCTGATAGTTCAGTCTAAGGCCAAGTGATTTGAGATGCACTGACCTAGTCCACTTCTGAACCACGGGCTTCTACCTCTCTAGTCTACCTCCTAAAGGCCAGTCTTGGCAACTATGTAGCTCAAAGACTGAGACCCTGGCTCAGACGGGCTTATTGTAGACCTCGCTGACCTGTCGACTCAGAAGATATTTCCTTATCCCTTATATCGAAGTTGTTTCAAGGCACATTCTGCAGGCTGCTTGCTGTAGTCCAGTTGGAAAAGCTTCTTTGATGACCTTTATAGACCTGATTTTTCACATTTCTCATGTGAGCAATGGCTTTTCTGGCTTCCCAATTCCTTGAATGATGGGTCCTGGACTTGCCTGGACTTAACTGGTGTGAGGAGGCTGACAGCTTAGCCGCAATATCCGGAAACTGCTTGGTATACAGTAATGCAGTGTACTGTAGCTCAGGCATGATGAGGCTCTGACATTTGCTTTTGGTTATTTCATCTAGCTCAGGGTTGAGGTTGTAGCCCTGAATGACAGCAGCACCGTACTGAAAGGGCTTCAGGGAAGTGTCTTTGATCTGGGAAGGGTCCACAGCCCCTTCATCCTGCAGACAGGTCTTCATGAGCTGGACCCTTCTCTCTCGAAGGCGCTCCACTTCTCGTTCCATCTCCTCTCGTCCCACCGTTTCATCGATCTTCTTCCAGAAGGTGGCATTGAAATGCAGGTAGAGCTTCCAGTCCAGGGAGTTCCATTGCTTTATCTTCTCCATGGCCCGACGGGACAAGTCCTGCCTGGTCTTGTTGCTTCTGCTGTTGAGCTTGAAAGAGACCACGTCATCCAACTTCCAGCAGAGGGCGTTCTTTAACAGGATCATGGACTCATCGAAGTATTCAGACACCAAGATCAGGTCGAACGTGTTTTCTATCATAGTTATAGACAGGTTGGTGTATCTTTCATTGTCATTGGCATTGTTATTGAAGCCAAAGTCAAATGTCAGGAGGTTCTTGGCATAATGGTTGTTGTTTAAAGAGGCATTATAGTGCTTCCAGGGATTTTCTAGGAACTCGTCCAGGTTTCGTTTCCTGAGGAAGGCAGGAATGCTCTTGTAATAGGAGAAAATGGACTCCATCATGGTGACAGGATTGCGCACAATTGAGAAGTAAAATGAATCTGCTGGCATGACCTTCTTGACCTGTGAATACAGCACAGTAGTTAATCATTCTTTTATTAAAACTGCAATCTTTGATTTTTAATATATTAAGGTAGAATATCCTTTACCATGTTTTTGTTTGCTTTTCAAGAAAGGCTTAGTCAGAGTTCAAATAATAACAGAATACTATGTCTGTGAGATTCTACCCTAAAAACCATAAAGGTAATAAGAACTCTTTAAAACAATTTCATTTAGGACACTTACCAGTAGAGAGGTCTACCTTCATTTCAAAACAATGCACAAATCAATTATTTTTTATTTATATTAAAAAAACACCATCACAAGCAACACAATTCAATTTAAAAAAATGAGTTAGTATCTCACCTCAGATGACAAGAACCTCATATGATTGCACATAATGTCATATTCCTTCACGGTCCTTGACTTGAAGCCTTCAACAAACAGAGATGTGAAATACAGTGGATAAAACAGCTGGCTGTGTTTGCTCAGGGGGAGAGCAAAGGTGAGATTTCGGCTCTCTCCAAAACGGTATAATATGTTGAGGATTGTACTGCTAGCTGTTTTATGTGTTTTGAGGAACACAATGTGCGTCTTTGGCTGGCAAGTGTCCTTCTCTTCATTTTGTGCTCTTTTGGCACTGGGTCTGCCCAATGAGGAGTGGGCATGTGGTAGCAAGTTTGGATTGAGAGGCGAAGGCACAGAAGAGGTAGATGATTTTGGCTTGGAGATTTTCTTTTTCTGCTGTCTGTATGCCTTTAGATGTTGTTTGGTATTAATTGTTGAATTTGAAGTGGACTGCAATAGTTTTTTTTGAACTTGGAGAGAACCCTTTTGATATTGTTTGGTTGAATAGGTTATACCCAATCCTACTGTAGTATTTTGTTTGAATATGTCATCTAATGATCTTGGATTGTGGGCTAAGGTATTTCCAGCAAGGCCTGTATAATTTGGAGATTTTGGATACCCTCTGACAGGTTGTTCCAATGTTACTGAATGAAGCGTCTCATCCATGCTTTGAGCACGAGCAGTAGCTACTGCTTTGTTTGATTGTTTTGGATTTTCTACCACTGTGATTTTTGTGTTCTTGTTGGCGGGAAGATTGTCCCGATGAGACAAACTTAAATTCTCCATGGACAGTACTGATTCCCTAGGACCTCGGGAATCATGGCTTATCACAGGCGGAAGTGAATCCTTTGCAGTGTGTACAACATCATCTGCCTTCAGACTGGACGGATTGCCATGTCCATGGCCGTGTCTCTCATTTTTTAGAGTGGTGTCCCTGCTTAAACCCTGGATGTATTTCATACTACGGTTTCTGCCGGGAGATGCTTCTTCTGACACCTCTTGTGTTGTTGTGATTGTCTTTTGAAGTTCAAAGGTGAATCTCATGCGGAAAAGTTTATCGTCGGTGAACTGCTTCGAAATCTTGTCACTCCTGGAAAAATATAAGTTCTTGATTAGCAAATTGACAGGATACAGTTGTTCTACCTGTCTTTTTTTTCTCGCTCTTAAATAAAGAAGAGCCTACTCGGATGTTTACTACTGTATATAGTAATATAGTAATACTTATACTATGTGTTAATACTACCATACTAGTAATACTATTTTTTCATATTAAAAAGAATAATGACTTTAAGAATATTTAAAGAGGTTTACAAATAAATTATATACTGATTAGTTTCCTAGCATGGTTTTGAATATTTTTAGTTTTAGTTTCTTCACCCTAAGCTAGTAATTTACATGGTGAATTCATGTTAAATGAGGGAAATTAGAATATCTACTTTCAAAAGAGAGTAAGAATGGTACCAAAGAAGTTATCATTCAGTCATTCGTTACATATGCTGGATTGTTGTCAGTACCTATTAAAATCATGACAACTGACCTGTATCGTCTGGTCATCCCTAGTATTTGTATGGCCACACAAAGAACTGTTAGGGCCATTAGAGCCATCCACATGAAGCGCAGATGACTACACAGTGCTGCCTTTACCCGCCTGGAGGAGAAAGGAAATCAAGGTTCAATCAGCTTCTCCTCTGGCAAGTTCATGGCAGTTTTGTAAATGATACTGTACAATGACACCTGCACAGATGCTTTATCTTATTTAAGCACCGCGTAATTAGACATGAGATAGCCTTTATACAAATTTTGCTACCTGACAACAGTCCCTTGGGTCGAAAATATCCTTATCACTGTCAATCAACATGCTTTCCACTTTACACACAGGAACATTGGCAAGATTCAATATCAGAGAGAAATATAACTATACTAAGTTTCCATGAACCATGTAGAACTTTAAATACACCTAAATTCTAAGCATTTGTTAGTCTCCTTAATAGGATATGAGGCCGTTTATTGGCCACTTATTTTGTGGAAATCCCTTCCACAATACTGTATATCTTACATAAAATATTCACCTTCTGCACAGCATTGGAGAACAGTATACAGTAATGCTTCCTGTGTATTTAATCATGGCCACAAGGTGGAGCTATTATTGTATTTTTACAATTGGGTTATCCTAATATTATGGGTAGACCTTTGGATTCAGAACTGAAATGCTTTAAGGCACTGCTGTTATATACTGGGTGAGATATTTTGCCACCAGAAATAAAGTTCACCCATGTTGTATAAGCGGGGACCAGCATTGCT